ACATAAATTAATAAAACAAAACATAATACAGACAAAGGGTCGTATAAAATAGTTCAGAAAAACTCATCTCTCAAGCAATATCCACAGGAAATAATCACTGACATAAACTCCCTGAAGTTATTTCATTCACCATTTGGATTAATTGTACAGTATATCCATTGTTTTGTACTATTATTGCTGTTAGGTATGGGGTTGTTTACTCAGTAAAAGAAAAAGGGCCGCCTTAAGGAAAAAGGTTGGGAACCATTAGCATAGAGCTGTTGATTTTTAAGTTGATTTTGCTCTTTTGAGGTAGTGCATTCAATCGGGGGATAATGTGACCTTGAATTCTGCCGTCTCTATTGGTTCTTGTAAAATGAGTGAGAAACACTAATGTCAGCAGGAGAAAAAAAGCATTATTGTCAGTAGTCACAGATGAACTCAAGCAGCTAAATGCAATGTGCTGCTCATCTTGCCTAAGAGTCTGACTTAGACAGGGCCAATGAGAATCATTCTGCGTGGGAATTGGATGGTTTGATTATTATTGTGAGGACCAGCTAAGACATAGTAGTTGCACAGACCTGTAAATGGTTATAAGACCCAAAGACCTCTTTTTAAGAGCGCTTGAAATGCAATCAATAACTATCTGTATCTCACAGCTACATTTGAACTGTATGACTCCAAGCGGATGATATGTATAATTTGCCCTTCTAATGGCACAGGCTACACATGAAGGGTAGCAATGGAAGATGCAGCTTGCTGCTGTATATTGTAAACTGAGAATAACAGTTAGGTGTGATGATGGCAGTGTGATGGTGATAACTGGTCCCAGATTGATCCTCACAGAACAAGGTTTTACTGCACCTGATTTACTCTGGCCATGCTGCCCAATACATTACCAAAACTGTGGGAATATTGCTGATTAATGAAATTGACCTCATTTGTTTGGTTGTCTGAGTAACAAAAGCCAATGCCATGCACAACCCTGTGAGGCATAGCCATAATCCCTGGGGATAACACTACTGAGTTCAGTTGAATGGGGTTATCTGTCAGCAAGGACAGACAGATAAAGGATGACTGGTATTTGGAGACTTTTGCCAAGCAACATAGAACAGGTGGGACAGGAGTTAATCGCCCTTGTATTCAAATGTCGGCGCTTTATGCCGAGTACAGATGGGGAGGCAGAGGCATCAAATTAAATGGTTTGTGTGCTATGTTTTTGAAAATGCCAGATTGTTTATGAGACTGATAAAAAAGAATGTGTCAAGAACTGTATTAAAAAAAAACAAATCCCGAAATATATCTGTCACATAAATTATCCAATTTTATACAGAGCAAGAGGCCTGCTGTAATACCCTGCAATGGACTTCATATTGCCCAGATCACATACAATTTGACCTCCAAAATAATTGTTAAAATATTCAGAAATAGAGCTGCAGCTCAAATTGAGCTTTTCATATGTCACACAACAACACTATTGTATTTTTCTACCATCACTCTTTGGGTTGAAGCACAAACCAAACACTGATCAGCCATAACATTATGACCACTGACAGGTAAGGTGAATAACACTGATTATCTCGTTATGTTGGCACCTGTCAGTTTGTGGGATATATTAGGCAGCAAGTGAATATGGGCAAGCGTAAGGATTTGAGTGACTTTGACAAGGGCCAAATTGGGATGGCTAGATGACTGGGTAAGAGCATCTCCAAAACTGCAGCTCTTGTTGATGCACGCGGGGAGCAAAGGCTGCCCAGTGTGGTGATCCAACAGACGAGCTACTGTAGCTCAAACTTTTTATAAATAAATAAATGTTTGGTGTATTAGATCTGAGTAGAGAAGTGAAGTACCTCCACTTTTAGTGTCCCCCATGGACCTTATTTCGGAAAAAAGACACATAATGTTTGATCCATTTGAATTGTGCCATGAATAACATAATGATGTTTTGGCAATTTAAAAGATAATTTTGCAAGTCAAGAAAGTCACAGTTTGTTGACGTGGCATGTAGATTTGTGTGAACTCAGTAAATTACATCTCTCGGCTTACAGCAAATACGTCACCAACATCAACATGGCCGCCACATTATCTCTGTTTTCTTACCTGATGTGTTTTATCCAGTGACTCTCGGTCCATTTATCAGCTAGGAACCGAAAGCAAGAGCTGGAACCATTTTTTGACTACATCCCAGTATGAAATACACGGGCAGCATAGACTCAGCAACTCTGGGTAGCTTGTGGAGGGAGAAAGCTGTGCCATCACTGAGGCCACTTTTGGTGTGTAGTCTTTCTAATTCTTTCCACAGTGTTATACTTTAACAGTTTTACGACAAAATGCAACTTTTTGTACAAGCAAAATTATCCTGTAAATTGCCTCAGATCATATGTGTAATTCATGGCAGGATCAAAACATTATTTTATGACTCAATATACTCAATATGAATCAAAACTACTGAACTGAAACATGGTGTGCAGCATAGAATAAAATAGCCATTTCTCCCACTTGCACATTAGGGATAAACTACCAAATCATACCCTTAATCTATTTTATGTTACACATGGTGTCACTCTAGATTAATCTTTATACATGTTTCAACATTAGTAAAAGTACATTTAGTGGTCCATTCACTGCTGGTACTGCAATTATGTGGTTGATTTATGTGTTTGTGTTGTCTTACTGCTCTTCTCTGGGCAATTGGGGATAACTGTCACCTTTTTGTTCCCATGTAATAATGGAATCATTTGGTGATTAGCTCAGTGGAGAGGCGGGCATTGACCTCTCTGCCCTCTGCCTCACTTCTCTATTCCCAATGTCTAATCCTAGCATTCTGCCTTTCCACTTGGGAACAGAGCAGAAATTAGCCTCTATCAATTCACCTTGTTGCATCATTTTCTGTTTCCTTTTTAAATAAGGGTTTATATGAGACAGTATTTCAACACTGGGGTAAGGACTCTGAATGTAATGTGTTTGCGTTAAATGATGGATGAAACAGCAGGTCAGCAGAAAATACATCATTGGACCGATAAATATAAGTATGTTTAAATTATAATGGGAGACAAAAAAGGATCTCATTTTTGGTTAGCTAAAACACTTTCATTTTTTGCAGCTGAGAAGATAATTCACCCATGAGAGCATAAGGCAGGTCATGAAATTTGTAGTGATTACTCATGTTACTTGTCCCGGCAGTGAATCTGTTTGCAGGTTAAAGTGAGAAAATCCAAGGAATTCAGAGAGAGACGAAGGCGAAGATGAAGGCGATTCTTAAGGGTGAACATAATATATTTAAGTCTTACGTTTTTTTTTCTTTGATCATTAGCTACAGGGACTATTTGGCTATGTAACTTTGTTTGTTTAAAAGGAACATTTCCAATTTTCATCCTTTATTCATATAACTGGTTCATGTAAAATAAAAAACCTTAATCAGATTTCACTGTTATAAATAAAGAATTTGTTTCATTATCTCAAACATGGATCTGCAATGTTCTTAAGACAAAATAATTTACATAATGTTAAGTTAAAACTTCTAAAAACTATTTTAAGTACGTAATCACACAGTCTGGTGTGAATGCATGCAGAGTGATAAATACTTTGGGAGCAAGAGGACATTTCCACAAACTCCAGCTATGCATAATTCAGTATGACATGAATAACCAGGGCACCCTCCAACTCAGTCAGCACCCTTTAATTATTTAAGTCAAACTTTGCAGAGGAGCACCCCAGGTTCAACAAGATATCAACAAATGCTACATAGTCTGAGATTATAACATTTGGTTAACTTTAAAAATCTCTGCAGCAGACAATTTTAAAGTGTCAATTATGGCAAGATTTTTTTTTCCCTTGCTTGAAGTGTAGACCCCTGACTATGTTTAGTAAGGGTCAACAGGCCACCCACTGACACGCCTCAGCATCTAAATTGACCAGACTGATGGCCTCTGTCACTTGACCTTTACACATTACATTAGTTACGTGACACAGCATTATATTACAGTTTGACACACAGAGTCGATGGCTATGTTAACCGAGAAGGGGCAGTGGGTCTGAAAGAATGTGGTCTCACTGTTGTTGAGAAGTAAATACAGTTCATAGAGTTAATTTGCAAAAACAGACATTCTTAAAATTAATAAACCAACTCCAGTTGGACCGATATTCATTTAACTGCACAACAAAAAAACAGGTTTTATGGAAATAAATCAAAACATATATATCTGTTTTTGCAAATGAACCCTTTACTCAATAATATGACTCACAGAGTACAGGATTCTTATCTTATTACCAGCGGGAAGTATGACGTTAGTCATGCAAAACTGCCTATTTTTGACAAAATGTAAGCAGTACATGCTGTGCTATCAAGAACATGGGTGGGCTGGCCAGAGCCAAAGTGAACTGTCCAGGCTGGTCCATCTGGGGAGCTGGCACTGAGAGCCTCCACGGATGTAAAAAAAAAAACATGCTTGCAAGAGCCGGACAACTACCACTGAGAATAACAGATTTTCGATGACAAGTGTATGCTGCTCATAGTTGAATGATAGAGCCAAAGCTAGCGTCATGCTGTTAATCTTACAGCTATCAGATAATTAATCTCCACTCTAAGCATAAAGTGATCATATTGCTATTATACTAAATTGTTTTCCAGGGAAATGGATTTAGACAAGCAACCTACCTCGTTTTTCAAAATTGTGCTTAATTTCATTGTCCTTGCACATCATGTCTGTGTGTCCGATGTTAACTCCATAGTCCTCCTGGACCTTCCCATCGTTCATCTTGCTGTGGAGCTGGTTGGGCGTGGAGTTAAGTGAGTGTCCGCCTGGGTCCTCCTCATCACAGTCGTAATCATCAAGAATTGGGGTCTCGCGGATGGGCATACCAATGACAGAGCTTCCGTGCTGATGTGTGCTCCGAGACCCCCGGTAGCTGTCTCGGCCCTGGGGTCCGAGCAGAACTGAGGGAATGTAGTGGATCTCATGGGTGGCCTCGGTACTGGCACTCTTCTGGGGGATTCGGCGACGCTTGCACCATCGGTGGCGGGTATACAGGACGAGGGTGAAGAGGAGAATTAGGAGGAGGAGGGCGATGAGGCCTCCCTGGACGTAGTCAAGAGAAAAGAGAGAATGAGAATTTTAGGGAAGCACACAAGGACGACAACTCTGATGTTCACACTTAAGTGGTAATGTCAATATGTCACGTGGTACACAACAATACCAACACATAATAGAAAAAGTACTTTACCACTCCAACAATAACAATTACAATCACCGCTCTAGTGCCAGTTATAATAGGTTGAATGCCAATTATATCTATTTGCCAGCTATTGAAGAGGTCTGGCAATCAGCACTTCAATATGTGAGTTCTCAAAGCAACGTGAGGCAGCTAAGAGGGTCCTAATGAGATGAAATTATTTGTGCCCAAAGGTACACTGGCAAAACATACAGCAAATTATTTGACATTTAAAAAGAAAAATGTCTCGAAAATAATAACCTCACCATCAGACTCACCATCATAGAGCCCCCCATCTCCAACAAAATTGAAACAAGAGCCCCCACCACCACCACTGTAATGTATATGCATACAAATGGAAAGATATTGCAACAGTAAAACAAAAATAATGATACCTCCTATCATTATTCATTGTCTTCTACTGTTTGGGGAATTATCTAATCAAGTTTTGGATATACAGTTCCCATAATTTGAGACTTTAATTACATTGAGACTGTGAGAGATTACAATATCTAACACAATATATATAGAATAGAAATAGAAATATATATACCTATATATAAGTGTAAATCAAACTAGATATGGAAAAATATCTTCAAGCGTGAGTGAGCGAAATTATAATAATTAAAAATTGAAAAAACGTCAGTCACCAACTGGAACGAACCAACAAGCATGTGTCCCACATAGATTCCAGGGGCTTGATAAATACTAACTGGTCTGCTGTATGATATACTGTAATCCACTTTCTTAGAAATGTTATGAATGATGATTTAGTTGCTTCAAAGTGCTTATTTCATTCAATGTTTACAATATTTTGTCTAGGATCTTCAATGAGACGCAAGCTGGTGAGGATGATAAATATTCCTGGACTTTTTTTTTAGGAAAAGAAAGAACAAGAATTAAACTCAGGGCATCCCTGTAGCAATGATGATATTAGCAAATCATTAGAAAGGAGGACGAATACAAACTAATTCACACACACACACACACCAACACACACACACCACACACACACACACACCACACACACACACACACACACAAATACTCACAAACACACACACAATGAAATTGCTGTGCAGCATATTACAGATTTTTAGTGCTCAAAATCAGCACTTTGTTAGCATACTGTGCACTTTCTGCAGTTAGACTAGGCACCTGCATACATTCACATACATAAATGGACATACACATCATAAACTAAAGAATTCTCAAGAATTACCATAGAGTTGAATAAACACTCCTTTAAAAATAATTTGACACCATAAGATTTACAAATGATAAATTTACTGCACAGCTACTAGTGATGCAAGTGTTCCTGTCATCGTGTCCATTCCCTATATTTATAATCTCTCCAGCACATATATACAGAAGTCAGGCAGAAATAATTTTCTTTGTAGCAGTGCTGCATCTGGACTCCTATCTTTAGAGAGTCACACACACCAGTGCCCCATTAGCCTGTTTTGCCCTCCCTTTCTTCCCCAAGCCCTTACAGTGGTGCTGTAAATTCACAGAGGAGCATCACATTTCTCCGTGGTTCATCCAATATCTCACCATCACAGAAACATCAAACACCCTGCCACACATGCTGTGGCTGCATGATAAAGCAAATCCATATGCACAGACAGAATGGTGGAAAGAGCAGGAGGGCATGACTTATTCTTTGATTTTTCACAATGACATTCAATAAGTGGGATGTAGTATTTGATTCAGCAAGACATGGCAACCTAAAGGTGATATATTTGTAATGTCAGACAGAAAATGCAGCATCAGCACTTTTTGCAAGCACATATTTAAAAATCTGGTGACATTCACAAAATTAAACACATGTGCATATGTGCATAAACGTGAGCTACAGGAGCATGACCACAGGGAACATATACTAGATGCACACACGTGCAAACTAAATCACAACAGAATAATAAATAAAATCCACAAGGGCTCATTCATCACAACATTTAAAATTCCATCTTCATGAGGAAAAACAAACCCCTTTGAAATTATAACTCATGCACTGCTGGGTGTCCATAAATCACACTGTGCTGAGAAGAGAGGCGGCACAGAGAGAACTAGTACCACGGACAAACTTGTTCATTAATCTCCAATAGGATGGCAGCATTGCAGGAATGCAGTCCCGCAAACTCCCCTTGGCCTGCACTTCTACATTAATTCCCGCTGAAGAATAGCAAAAACATATGAAGGCTTATGTTTCATTTTAGTAGCAGAGTGATAATGGAGTGACATTGTATGGCTCTGCAGCACTACTGAAAAATGGTGATGTAAAATTGCAATGAAAAGGTTGAAATCTCAGTTTAAAATAATCTTCCTGGCAGCCTAAAACAGAAATATTTTTTGTGTATAAGTGATGTCTTTATTTATCTCAGCGCATTGACCATCACTGGAAAGTAAAGAAAATAATTGGCCATTTTTCATAGAAATTTAAAATAATTGCACCTTTTAGAATTACACAATGCACTACTAAGAAATATTTGACATTTAAAACCTTAATTAGTCACCTTACATTTAATACCGCACACTTGGTACACAAGTACTGTCACTGTCTTTAAAAGTGCAAGCACTCACACAAAATAGCTATACCGCATGTCAGCTTTTGTCTTTTCATAGCTCTGTTAATTTGACTCCGTCTCTGTCACATCAGTGTCCTTAGGATTCACTCAAATTTCCTCCCCCGTATCGTCTGACAATGTTTTCATCTGCACTTCCCACCGTTCTCGCTTTTTGTTCTCTCTCCCTCACAATTACTCTGTGTCTCTCAGTCTCCATTCCCCTTCATGTTTGATCACATATGTCTTCCACTCTTCAGTACAACAGCCGTATAAATTCACAGTGGCAGATGTAGCCATGAGGGAAAATGGGTTTTCTGTTCATCTTCAGACCCTACAAATCCCTGCTGCTTTAGTCCTAAGTGACTTCACGGGGAGGAGAGTGGCTGAAAGCCCCATAATTCCACTCTTTTCTGTAGCATAGGTTTACTTCAGTGTGTGATTATTTTTCTCACTTTGCATTCCTTTTTTTCCAATAATGCTCCCTTTTCCCTTTCTGAATCACCTTGTATGTTTATCTTTCCTCTTTCCTTTTGTTCTCCTTTCTGCACCCTTCTCCCATTAGCCTTCTGTAAATTCCCTGTCTTTTTCCTGTTGTCCCTGCTTTTTACCTTTCATTTCTTACCCTCCCATTCCCCTTTCCCCCCTCTGAGGATCATGTTGCCTCTTTCCTTTCATCATTCCCTGCCAGGTTCGCTTGCTATGGTTTCATCCTTCTCACTTACTTTTTATCCTCATTCTTTTGCAGATTGACTTGCAGAATTTTGGCTACAAACACAAGCACTGAATTATTCAACACTTTCGCAAACCTTTTTTCAACTGACATAATACCAGCAAATTCCTTTAGATTAAATTAATGACAGCCATCTTAAAAATACAGAAGCAGAAAGATCAGCAGGCTTGTACTTTTCTGCATATAAAAGCAACCACTGATAGTAAGAATGATATGGGTTGAGTGTACAACCTCAAAATGAATCTGAAAGTAATAGAGCTTTGAAAGTATGAATTATATAAAAAAAGAGAGATTTACAGTTTTTATCAATATCAAATCATGCTCCCACCGGGGCATGTTCATTCTAATACTTTACATTATTCTAGTGGTTTCTGTATTTCATAAAGCCTAGCATAAAAATAAAACCTTCTGATGCTGTATTTGGGATGGATGAGAAAGGGAAAAAAAATCAATACCACCATACATTAGCAAATATGAGACAAATGCACTCTAATAATTTAGTTTTCTCCCACATTCAAAACACATTACACTAAAATATCTACAATTATGTGAAAGCAATAAACAGGATTTGTTTAGATGGCTGGCTTAGACAGAAAACACAATGGAATGAACAGGGAACTAACATTTGTTTTTCAAATAAAAATAAAAATCGTTAGCTACAGTGAGCAACAGTTAAACACAAGAGTGATTTGAATCAAATCCTTCAGATGTGATTAGATCGCTCAAACGTGGGCGTGGTTTAGCGTATACAGCATTATACTGAGTTGTGGATACAAAACTTGAGATCTCTTCACTACTTTCAGATCAAGGTAGGAGGATGACGGTGAAATTAATCAATTAGACACTACATTCTTTGGACATTTTAACAAAGTTGTTACCAAACACACACCTCCTACAGTATTAAGATAATGCTCTGGTAGCCACCCACTAGCTAATGGTCAAAATACAAAAACTTCAGTCCATCTTGGACAATGTCTCAC